GCCGCCCACCGCGGGGGGCCCCCCCCCCCCCCCCCCCCCGGTGCCTGCCTCCCACACATACCTTGATGAGTCCAGGTACCAGCAGCTGCATTTCTGTGCCTGCCACGGCCCGGTCTAGCACCTCCCAGCCCTGGGAGCCTTGCCGCCCCTCCAGGACATAGCCATCCAGTGTTTTAGGGACCAGTTCTGGGGGATCCCAATGCAGGAGCACCCCTCGGGGTGTCCTCACTGCCACCAGGCCTCGGGGAGGTGACAGGGCAGGTGACATCTCAGTGGGCGGAAGACTGGGGGCAGCTGGCGTGGTGGGAAGCCCTAAGCAGGGCAGACAGGCATGAGATGGGCAGACAGACAACATGCCAACCCCTCTATTCCCCGCCCCCAACTCCATGCTCAGCCCATTCTCCCAGAGCCCCTAAAGACACCCCCGAATCACGTTCCATAAACCCCTGGGGACCGCAAGCTGCCCGGCTCCTCTGCCCCCTCCCACCCAGGTCGTGCCAAATCCAGGTTTTCCCTATCAGTCCTATCCCGTCCGGTCAGATGCTGGCGTTGGGGCGGGGGGAGATCTCTCACCCTCGGGGGCAGACAAGACGATCTCACTGAAGGGCCCACTCCCCAGCTTGTTTTGCGCTAGGACGCTGAACTGGTACTGGATATGGGGCTGCAGCCCCAGCACCAGGAGGTAAGCAGCCCCCACAGGCACTGCCAGCGACACCCAGTCGTGGTGGGTTCGGTCAGGACGCTTGGCCCTGGAGGACATGAGGAAACGGGGGGACTTCGTTACTAGGAGGGCCAGGAAGCTCTGGAGTCCAGAGACCGACCTGTCCCCTCCCCTCAGCCGTCCAGGATCTCGGGACCTGGGCCCTGAACACCAAAGATCCCCCTGGAAACAGGGCAGCGGAGTTAGGGCGGGGCTGGGATGGAAGGGTGGGAGGAAGGGCAGAGGGCCAGAGGGACTCGGGTCGGGGGACAGGAGCGGCAGATCACTCACAGTGGGGTATACCAGACACTGAATCTCTGCAGATAGCCACCATCAAAGCCGGGCTCCCAGGAGACATTGGCACCCTTGGGCAAAGGCACCACGGACACATTGGTGACAACGTGTGGGCTGGTGCCTGGGGAGGGGGAATTGAGTCGGGGGGGGGGAGGGGAGGCTGGTCAGGTAAAGAGCTAAGGAGGGTGCCCAGGGCCTCTGACCTCCAACCCATCATCCCAGGGCCCCCTGCCCCCCATCCCCATGTGGACCTCCACAAATGATTCTCCCGTCCCCCGTCCCACATGGGTTCCTCTGGCCCCCAGCCTGCTCTCCAGCCACTAACCCAGCACGTAGACATGTGTGGAGGCGGCCACTCGGGCCACAGCATTGCTAGCGGTGCACTCCCAGCGCCCATGGGCCTCCTTGGTCAGCGGTCGCAGGATGAGGCTACTGTTGCTGCCCACCTGGGCCTGGCCCTGCGGCCCCCGGCCCACCTACGGAACCACTGGTCAGCCCTGAGGACACATGCGGCCACCCCTCACCGAGGGCAGCTCCAGCGTCCTCCCCACCCTGCCTCCGATGGCTCCCTCCTTCCCGCAGAATGACGAGGGGCAGGGAGAGGCAGGGGTGCAGAGCGTGTGCGCGTGGGCAGAGCGGGGCTAGGAGCCTTACCTTGGCCCAAGAGATAGCAGGAGGGGGGTCTCCCTGGGCAGAGCAGGGGATGAGCAGCTCCCGCCCTACTTCTTGGAAATATTCTTCCTTAGGTCGTTCTAGAAAAGCTGGGGGAGCCTGCAAGCCAGATCTGGCATTGGGAGGGGCCTCCCGCACTGCCGTCTAAGGGCCGCTCCCCTCTCTGGGGCTCCCATCACACCCCATCTCCCAGGGTCTCCCTACCTGTTGTCTCTGCTCCCCGGCGGGGCTGGAGGGAAGTGGGGGTCTGGGAGGCCTCTCTGGGGGGCACACACCTCCCCGGAACACCCTTCACCCTCTCCTCTGCTTCACCCCCCTTTTCCTCGAGGCCAAGGTTAGCGAGTTGGGCAGGCAGGTATCTTACTTTGGGGACGTACGCGCCCCTCACACCCCACCTCGCCAGCACCACCTCTACAGAAATCGCCAGCACGGAGTCTGACAGCTGCCGCCGCCACCGTTGGACTCCGAAGTGACTGCTCTGCCCCCCTCGCCAGGGCGCCCGCAGCCACCCTCACCTTGAGCAGCACGCGGGTCACCGGGGAGGGCCCTGCAGTACCGAGACTGTTGTAGGGGGTGCAGGAGTATTCTCCCAGGGCATCCTCGTTCCCCAGGGCGATGATCAGGGAGCCCTCGGGGCCCTGGGACCAGCCAGGGAGCTGCGGGGAAGTGAAAGCGGTTCAGCAGAGGCTGGGGAGGAAGGAGAAGGCCACATCCCTGCAGAGGACTCCTCCTCCAGGCCTGACCCCTCTCTGAACTCCAGGCCTACGCTTCTCTTTCCAGCGGCGCCCCCTGGAGCTGAGCCCTGCCTGGCGGGGTGTCCGGCACCCCGGTAATGAAAGTCAGCATCTTCCACTCCAAATCCTTTCCTTTCCCTGCCTTCCCTGTTCTTTGTCAAGGGCCCCACTGTCCCCACTAACCCGGACTCCTCACTCCCCCATCGAATTGCTCACCAGATCTCTCCTCCGGGAAGGCCTCCATCTAGGCATGAAGCCCGTCCACGCCCAGGACCCCCTCACCTCTCACCTGGACCACTTCGCGGCCTCTGAACCCCTCTCCCTGTGTCCACCCTGCCCTCCGTCCACCCGACAGACTCAACTCCCGCTCACAGCTCCGATGCTGTCGCACCACTGCTCAACAGCTGCAGACTTTTTTTTGTAACTTCCAACAAAAACGTATCCAGTCCTCCTATCGCAGAAGCCCCCGGGGACGGGGACACTAGGACTAAAAGATGTGGTGGTCGCCCACGAGGGCGGACAAAGACCCCAACTGCTTGTACCCACGCTTCTCCCTCTTGGCCCCAACCTGTTTCTCCGCAGCACCGTGTACCCACGGGCATGTGGCTCCCCCCAGACTCGAGGACTCGTCACGCCCTACACGCGAGGTACCGTTTCCTGCCTCGGGGCCCTGGTTCCTGCTCCGAATGTCTGTCCACCCCCCCCCCCCCCGGGGAAGGGGTGTATCCCTAGTCACGGACTTGAATTACACTGAGCTAGCTCCACCCCAGCTGGCCTGCCCAGGATCACACCAAGCCACACCCTTCCCTCCCCCGCCCGGAGGTCTGTACCTTGTCCAGCTGCAGGGCCTGCCCATCCTTGGTCCAGCTGACGAAGAGCAGTGGGGGGTTGGCGCGGACCGGGCACCGGATCACCCCCCGCATGCCTACGGGCAGGGGGGTCTCAGGAGGCATCGCTGTCACCTGCGCTGGGTCTGGTGGGGGAAGCAGTGGCAGGTTGTGGGGCAGGAACTTGGCCTGGCCCAGGGGGAGGGAGCAGGCTTGGGGAGGGAGCCGGGTGAGGCTTACAGAGCACAGTGAGGTAGGCAGAGGCCGAGGGCGGGCGCCGGAGGCCGTTGCTGGGCACGCAGGTGTAGCGGCCCGCATCGTCCGGCTGGGCGGCCAGCAGCCGCAGGCTCCCATCTACCAGGATCCGCACTCGGGGCTGCAGGCGGCTGCAATGTGGCACGTGTGGGCAGGGGTCCAGGCTCGCTGAGCCGGGGGACTCCTCCAAGGCTGCCCACGGGTCCCCCGCCCACCCCCAAGCCCCACCTAACGTGGAACACGTTGACGCTGTCCTGGAACCAGCTATAAGTGAGGTTGGTGGGGTACGCCTCAGCCCGGCAGGCCAAGGAAACATCCTGGGAGGCATTGACCGTGCTGTTCTTGGGGGGCACCACGATGACCGGGGGGCCTGTGGGGGAGCACATGGGAAGAGAGAGGCCTCAGCCCTGAGGTCCCCTCTACAGTTCTTCCTGCCATCTGCCCTCTGGAATAGGGGAACTGAAACAGCCCTAACCCCTGTACCTAACGCAAGTTCCTTCTCTTCCCCAGACCAGATCCCTTTCCCACCAGGGACAACCCAATTCACCCGGACTCCCCCGCCTAGAACCTGCGTGTGCGTGTATGTCGGGGAGGGGGAGGCAGGCTCACTCTCTGCTCATTTACCCTTTACCTCCCTCCGCTGTCGCCTCCTAAATCACCTCCACATGTCCTACCCTAATGCAGGTGCCCAACACCTCACCAGCGGATACAGCACGATCCCCGACCGAGGCTCCCCCGTCTGGCCACTCCAGCGGCCATTCGCACAGAGACACCCCCTTTGGCCAGAACACAACGCTTCTGTTCAAGAACTCACAACTCCTGGGGCGCCTGGGTGGCTCAGTCGGTTTGAGCGACCGACTTGGGCTTAGGTCATGATCTCACGGTTTGGGAGATCGAGCCCCATATTGGGCTGTGTGCTGGCAGCTCCGAGCCTGGAGCCCGCTTGGGATTCTGTGTCTCCCTCTCTCTCTGCTCCTCCCCCACCCATGCTCTCTCTCTGTCTCCGAAATAAATAAACATTAAAAAAATCTTTTTTTTCAAGAACTCACAACTCCTGGCTCCCACCATATCAAGCTCGAACTTCTCGATCCAGCCTCGTGGGCACTCAGGATCCAACCCCTCCCGGCCCGGCCAACTGTCTTTTCATTCGCCAACCCTTAAGAACCCTTTCAGCTCAGGGTGGGCGTGTCGTGCCCCGGGCTGGCTGCACCGCCTTTGCTCTCCGAACCCCGTCTGGAACGCTCTTCCCACAGCATCTGGCCAGGCCGCATCATCCCTGCAAATCCGTCTCTCCCTTCTACCACCCCACTGCTCTCTCCCCTCCCCGGGCTCCGCTGCCTGGGTCGTCGGGAATAGGAGGTGACGATCCGAGCCGGGGGGCCTATAGAACACGACAGACATGCGGGGCGCTCCGCTGAGCACCTCCCTGCACCATTTCTTTTAATCCTCACAAGAGCCTTCTGTGCCAGGAATTACTGTCTCCACGGATGAAGCAGTGGAGGCCGAGAGGCAGAGAGAAGTGAGAGCCCAAAGTTAGCAGGGTAGGCAAGACTCGTTCAGGCCTTCCTGACCCTGGCGGGCTTGGCCCTTAACAGTTCCTCAGCGCTGCCTTCCCACAGAACCAGGGAAAAGTGACACTTCACTAACTCATCTGCCTTCCCTTCAGAAGAGGCTCTCCGAAGGCAGAGTCCAGGCCGTCTCTTAGCTTTTCTTCTAGACTTCGGAAGGTCTCGGACAGGAGTTACTAAGTGCTGATCACTGTACTCAACTGAACCTGATTAAATTCTTAACCTAGTCCTAAAATGTAGATATGAACCTCTTTATATATAGATGAGAACCTGGGGGGCGGGGGGGGGTTACACACCACACTGCTGGGCCCTAAATATATACTCGTCCATTCACTGCTCCTTTTAAAATTAAGATGCTGGTTTTTAGAGGGGCGCCTGGGTGGCTCAGGCGGTTAAGCGTCCGACTTCGGCTCAGGTCGTGATCTCACGGTTGGGGAGTTCGAGCCCCCCATCTGGCTCACTGCTGTCAGCGCAGAGCTCACTTCGGATTCTCTGTTCCCCTCTCTCTGCCCCTCCCCTGCCTGAACTCTCTCAAAACTAAATACAACATTAAAAAAATTAGAGAGAGAGAGAGAGAGAGAGATGTGGTTTTAGAGCACCAGCCTGCATTGGTAGCTTTCTTTCTCTCCACGCCCCTGTGTCCTCTCCTGCTACGTGCACCCCCAGCCACAGGTCAGAGCCCCCCCATACAGGTCCCTAGTTCCGGCCCGCAGCACCCCCACCAGAGCACCTAGCACCAGCAGCTGGGTGGCGTGGGAGGCACTGCCCTCGGTGCTGGAGGCTTGACAGGTGTAGACCCCAGAGCTGCGGCGTTCCACCCTCCGGATCCACAGCGTCCCATTCTGCACCTAGGGTAGGAGGGGATGAGGAAGGTTCCTCCGCCCCCCCCCCGCCCCGCCCCCTGCCTCCCCTTCCCTCCCCTTCCCTCCCTCCCGCGGGCCTCAGACCCTGCACTTCCGAGTCTGGCCGGCAGAGGGCAGCAGCACCCCAGGCTCAGGAAGCCAGTGAGGCGTCCCTCCCTGGCCAGTCTCCCAGCTCGGCCTTTGGCCCCTGGGCCTCTAGCCCCGCCCCCAAGCCTCCCCCTCACACCCTATCAGGCCCACTTAGCCCAGCCCCGGGACTCACTTGCACCTGGCCCTGGCCCTGGCCAAGATCCTGTCCTCGGAGCTTCCAAGTCACATGAGGCTGTGGGCTGCCACGGGCCACACAACGCAGGGTCACAGGCTCCAGTTCCTGAACTTCCAGCACCTGGGGAGGGGTCTCCAGGAACTGAGGGGGTGCTGCAGAGAGAGAGGCATCAGGGGATGCCAGAGGGGCTCTCAGTCCAAAGAGCAGGGACACCGGTCAGGGCTGCAGGCCTCAGCCCACCGGCCGGCCCCACTGCTCGGGAGTCCCCAGCCCAGGGCCACCCTGCCTGCTGAGCTAAGGCCAAGTGAGGGTGGCACCAGCCCATCCCCACACTGGCCTGCGGACTTAGCAACTGGGGCTGTGCACAGGAGGGGTGTCAGAGCCGGGGGAGAGCTAGTGGCCCCCGGCACTGCTCTGGGGGTCCGGAGGCCTGGGTCCAGACTCCGCTCTGCCCCTAAGCAGCGGCAGGATCCAGTCTCCCCATCTGTGAAAGGGGAAGGATTCTGACCTTCCTTCCTTCTGAGGGTTGACAGAGAATTCATGAGGTCCTGGGTGAAAAGGTGTTTTGAGAAAACAAAACGCCGTCTCAACACGTGAGCCGTGTTTCGCTCAGGGCCCGGCAGCCCCCTACCCATTCCCCTCTCGCGGCCAGAGGGGGAAGACAGAGGAAGTTCCAACACTGGAGGGCAGGCGTGGCGGTGGGAGGGGCAAGATGCAGACAGTGAGCCAGCAAACAGGAGTGTCAGCGAGGGTGGGGCCCCGGAACCACCCCCCCCAAAGGGCCTCATCATGGGGCCCCCCCCCCCCCCACCTGCCCCCAGGTTCATACAATTGACTGTAAGGTGCACCCAGGAGCCGTTAACAGAGTCGTCCTCAGGGCTGTGCTTGTCCAGGAAGAGCACTCGGCACTCGTACCAGCCCTGGTCTTCCGCTCGGAGCCCCTCAATCCGGAGAGATGCCCCCTTCTGCAGCCGGACTCGCCCTGGGGGAGGAGCCCCAAACCCTGGTCACGCTGGTTACTCTCAGAGGTCAAGAACGAGGCCCTGTCTCCTCCAGTCACCGTGATCCAGTGGGGACCGGAGAGACACGGGTGGGGCTGGGGTCTCCGAGGGCAGATCCCTCCATTCAGCCCCGGATCACTCCTGCCTTTTAGCAGCTGAGATCCAGTTTAGACCAAGAGAAACCCAGAGTGGTAGCAGGTGCACAAGACATCCTACTGAACCGCAGGTGGCTTCAAGGACCGTTGGGAGAAGGGCGGTTTAAGAGCCACACTTAGGGGCGCCTGGGTGGCTCAGTCGGTTAAGCGTCCAACTTGGGCTCGGGTCATAATCTCGCGGTTCGTGAGTTCGAGCCCCGCGTCGGGCTCTATGCTTACAGCTCGGAGCCTGGAGCATTCTGTGTCTCCCTCTCTCCGCCCCTAACCCACTCGCATTCTGTCTCTGTCTCTCTCAAAAATACATATACATTAAAAAAAAAAAAAAATTAAGAGCCACACTTCGTCTCCTCGTGAGTCTTACAGGATCTGCCCCAGCCCTGGGCGCTTCGGAGGGGCAACGTATGGCTCCTGGAGGACCCCTCCCGCCAGAGCACTGGCCCTGGAAACCTCAGCAGTGTTTGGGGCCCAAGCAGGGACCCAGACCTCGCCTACCAAAGCCCCTAATCCCTCGGGGCTATTATCAACGGCCTAAGCGCCTTAGGGTGGCCAGAGTCCAGCCCAGCCAGGCAGCAAGGTCAGCAGCCTCCTCACCCCATCCCTTCATGCCCCAGGGCACCCGGGGCCCCGGCTGACTGGCCACACGGAGCTCCACAAAGCCACACGGCCACAGCACAGGCAGACCCTCACGCCCACCCTCCGTCAGCATCCACTACGCCACCAGGTTCAGACTGAGGCTGCCCCCCCCACATCCCTCGGCCCCCTCCCCACACAGCTTCGGGGGTCACCGGCAGTGCCGCCTAGTGAGAGAGGCCCACACTCGGGAGCCAGGGAGACCCAGAGCCCAGCTCTGCGTTGTATTCCCTTGGGCAAACTGGCCAACTCGGGTTTCATCCGGAAAAAGAGGTTAAGACCAATCTGGCTGGGGAGGGAGGGGGGAAGGGACGCGGAGCAGGCGGGCACCTCACTGCTCACATACGGAACAAACGGATGAGCACAAGGTGTGCAATCAGAAGCGGGACTCGATCTCGGGCCTCCCCTTACCTGGTGGCAGGTCCTCTCCGCCCACCCCCAGCAGCGGCTGGCCCCACCGCGCACCACACCGCCCTGCCAGCACCTGGGACTGCCTAGACCCCTCTCCGTCACCGCCCACGTCTGCGTGTTCAGCGCGGCTTTGAGATTCTGCCCCCTGATCTGTTCCTTCTCTTCTGTCGTCACCTTAGCGTGGTCCCGGAGGATCTCTCGACTTACTCCACAGCCCACCCCGACGCCTCCTGGCCCCGCGCCCGCCTTCCGTTACATTCCCCAGCCCACCACGCCTTGACTTTCGATGTGGACAAATGAGATTTTCTAAATCTTTGGGCTGACACGGAACAACTACTGCTCTGAGACGGTCCCTGAGCACGTGCCCCCTCCCAACAACCAGCCGGTGCCCCCGACTGGCCTTCCGAATACCAGAAATTCTGAAGCTGTCCTCCTGCTTCCCTTCTACCTCCAGGGTGATCTTTCCGAAATATAAGCTAAGCCTGTAGGGATATAATCTAGTGCCATCAGGGAAAAAGGAGAACTGAACAGGCTGAGGCTGGCGTGGTGGTCTTAGGCAAGGGACTTTTTCCTTCCAAGGATGAGGTCCAGGGGTGTGAACTCTCCAGGATGGGCGGACCTGTTTCCAGGGCTAGGTGTTGAAATCTCCACCTAGGAGATAAGCCTAGGCCTTGCGGGTAAATATTTAACACGATCACACCCTTCCACACACACCCCCTTCGGGATTCCTCCGTAACCCCCATCTGCGTGGCCACGGAGCCCTGCGACCCCAGAGTGCAAAGTCCCCTTAAGTTCCAAAAGATAGCCACTTCTCATTACGGTTGTCTTCGTGCTCTACGAAAAAAGCAAGAAGAGGAAGGGATATTGAGCACTGAATGTGGACCATGTAACATTTAATCCTCGCAGGAAATCCATTAGAGAGGAAAGGACATGAAGCTTCCTTCCAAAACCCCACGGCTCGTAAGTGACAAAGTCAGGCCTTCTTCCTCCAGATGCGGAACACTTTCCAGTGCACCATGGGGTTAGGATCAAGTGACGCTCGGGACACACAGCACTGACCACATCCAGGGTGTTCCCACTCAGGGTGTTGGTGGTCAGCGGATAACAGTTCTAAATGTCTGCGGATCTGAACATTCAAGGAGGCATACTGCGTGCCCTCCCTTTTCTGGGAGATACGGGCTGCTAGACTTGTGGCACGGCACAGGAAGATGGCCAGGGGCAGGCAGGCAGTCCTGAGTCCTCCTGAGTCCCGTAGGCCCACCCTCCACCCGCAGGGCCACAGCCTGGTGGGCTTCAGACCCTCCCCCGCCGCGCCCTGCCCCGCCCCGCGCATGCAGGGGTGCGTCAAGGAAGCGGGAGACACTGACTGCTCTCTCCAGCTCTCAGAAGGCAGAGAACCCACACGCACGTGCATGTACAAGCTCACATACACAGTTCAAGAGATGCTCCTTGCTGTGTTCAGAGGTTCCAAGGACCACGAAGCGAGAGGACTACTGCTTCCCGGGAGCTGTGACCACAAGGAAGGTTTTGCAGGAAAAAAGGGGAGAGGCCTGGAGGGTGGAGTGTTCTGAGAATAAGAGAATTGCCTTGGGGCGCCCGGGTGGCTCAGGGTGGCTCAGTCGGTTAAGCATCCGACTTCTAAGCATCCGACTTCAGCTCAGGTCATGATCTCGCGGTTTGTGAGTTCGAGCCCCACGTCAGGCTCTGTGCTGACCGCTCAGAGCCTGGAGCCTGCTTCGGATTCTGTGTCCCCCTCTCTCTCGAACCCCCCCCCCCCCCCGCCGCTCACACTATGTCTCTCTCTGTCCCAAAAATAAATAAACACTAGAAAAGGAAGAAAAAAAAAAAAGAGAACTGCCTTGCAGCAAACAACTCGGGACAGAGAGAAAACTCATGCCTTTCTGCCAGCCGCGCTGTCCCGAAGTTCCCAAGAAAGACAGCATGAAAGTCAAAGACCAAGTCAGCTCGAGGGTTAGGAAGGCGTCCCAGCCTGTTTTATACCGCTTTTCACCACTTTGTGCTAGTCTGTAAATCCCGGCCCCTCCGCCAGATGGATTCTGGAGTCCTCAAAGGTTGGGAGCTGGGGTCTCAGGCGTGGTCCCTCCCACGTTCTAGGCCACCAGCCTCACACTCGCAGTCCCAGACCATCTCTCCTTCACTTGCCCAGAGGGCTTATGACAGGCCGGCATTGTCCTTAGCAACCTCCACCTCCCGTTGCTTAGCAACTGCGGGTTCGGAGTCCCCTGCACAAAGGCCGAGAGGCCCCTTAGACGGGAGGCAGTAAGAGAGTTAATGGGCACAGGGCCCTCCCCCCCCAGCTCTGACTCCCCAGACTGGCTGGACTAGCTACTGGGGGGCGGGGGCAGGGGTGGGCACTAAGGGCAGGGGCAGGAAGAAGCCCCGAGGGGTTACCGCTCACAGTTCCCCCCGCAGCTCAGAGCGCCACGGAGAAAGGAAACCCACAGGTAGCAAAGTGACCAGCCGGCCAGCCAGCGGCTTGTCTGCCCGAGGGACCCCAAGACGGGTAGAGAGAAGGACAGCCAGGAATCCCAGGAAAATTCCTCTCCCTCCTCCGCTCCACCTGCCCCTGCCCCGTCCTCGGTCAGGCAACATTCTGTATCTACCCAGCCTCAGCCCTCAGCCCAAACCCCTCCCGGCCCAGCCCCTGCCCCGCACAGACAGGGAGGGCGGGCTGGTGGGCACAGCCAGGTTTTTTTTTTTTGTTTTTTTTTTTTACCCCACTTGTCCTAATTGGGCCCTGCTTTCATCAGCTCTCACGGGGCTTGTGTAGACACATCCGCTCCCACCAGGCTGTTTGCCAACAACTGCCCCCGGTTTGAAAATAAACTCTCCTTCCGGTGGCACCTGCCTGAGCTCAGCCTGCCCCTCAGGGACAGCTCAGCCAATGTCAGAGCTGCTCTCAGGATTCAAACTAAAGAGGGGAAAGGTGGGGGTCCCCTCCCCCATCAGCGTCCCCAAGGTGGCCTCTCCTGGGTTTCCCTCTAAAGACTGTCTGGCCCAACAGCCCCCAGCCCTCCCCTCGGGCCCTCCCACACGCTGCCCTCTGAGGCCTGCACTAAACCGCTCAGATTAAGACTCCATTCGGGATTAGGAGGAAGCCCAGCCCTCTGAGGGAGCCAGCAGGGGTGCGGAAGGCAGCCCCGGGGGAGGGGGGAGGGTCCATACGTTAGTACAGGAGCCACATAACCCAGCCTGGCCCCATCCATTCCCTGACCCTTAGGGACCCTGGCCCTCCCCAGCCCACCCTCCGTGCCCCCGCCCCTGTGGTCGGGGACGCCCCCCCCCCCCCCCCCCGCCACCAGCCTCCGCTGGAGAAGCACACAGGCCACAGACCCACCCACCCTGCTGCCAGTCAACCCACCTGCCAGCCGCCTAGAGCCCCCCAACTGGCATGACGCAGAGGGGGAGGGGGAAGGCAGAGCAGTTAAGAAGGGGTCTTGCCCGCCCCCCACCCAGCCCCCCTCTGTTGGGGTGTTCACAGTACCTCCTGATCCCCCTTGTCTTACCCACGTAATCAGGGTCAATTCTGGGAGAGTAGAGGCCGAACTGGATGAAGATGGGGAGCAGGAATCCAAAGCGCAGCCACTCGATGACATGTAGCGGGGGCCGGCCAGCCGGGGGCAGCAGGTCACAGCCCAGCACCGCGCTGTCGCCAGCCCGGCCCACCACTGACCCCACCTCAGGCTTCCCTCGACCTGCTCGGACAACAGGGACCAGAATCAGGGCTGGGACAGGAGGCTCCCTCAGGGTCTCTGCGCGATCCCTAGGACTCTGTGAAGTGGCTGAGAGAAGCCTCGACTTCTCCAGAACCAGCGCTCTTCATCCCCTACCCCGCGTGCTCACAGAGAACCCCCTCCCCCCCGCCCCCGGGGAATGCCCCCCACTCCAAGGCCGGCGGCGGGGAGCTCTTGAGCCCAGGGAATCCGGCTCACCGTCAGCCCCCTGGCTGATGACCAGGCTGAGGACGGCCAGACCGAGGCAGCAAACCATAGCCCAGCTGCCTGCTCGGCCGGCCCCTCCTATCCACGGGGCCCAGACGGAGGGGCCCGGGAGGTGTCCACAGCCCAGCAAGCCCCGGGAGGGATGCCTTCTGATCCGGTAGCAAGTTTCAGCTCTCACTCTTCTGCACGGTTAGGGCTTGGCTCACGTAACACCTGATGCAGCCGCTCCCTGGAGCACCACCAGATCTAAACACAAAACGCAAGGCAACATGCCGAGTGGGCCAATACTGGGAACCAGAAGAAACCCCACCGTCAGAGACAGGCCAGGAGGAGAGCAAACGAAGAAAGAGGAGTGCAGAGAAGCAGGGGAAGGACGCAGATACCAGAGATCTTGCCGCCCTGGGGGATAAGGGCTGGGGTGGGGGCTCTGGGAGAACCAGGGAGCACTGGGTGGGGAGACCTGACAGGGGAGGACACGGGGAGGGTGGGGCAGAGGAGTTGGAAAGATCTGAAGAGCCTTCTGGGGAAACCCGGGTTACTGACGTGCCCGGAAAGCTGAGCTTGGAAAAAGATTTGTCAGAAAATGGGAGATGAAGGGTCCCCATGGCTCAGCCTCTTCTCTGTTCTTTCCCTAGTCCTGATGCTGATAACAAGTAGCAGATCGCCAGGGAGAACCAGGATTACTCCTTCACCCCACAGTGACAATTAAGGACCCTGCTCAGGGCTTGCTCAGGGGCACAGAGCCAGTGAAGGGCAAAACCTGGGCGGGAACCCCCAGAAAGCAGCCCCCAGGGAACCCACGCACACAATCCCTTGCCCACCTCCCCAGCCTCTGTGACTCCTGGAAGCTGGGGAGGGACGCCGTATCTCTTTCTCCACTCAGCCTCCCAACACTGCTTTAGCAGTGACTGAGTCAGGCAGCGGGGAGAGGAGATGCCTCCCCCACCTGCTGGAATTGGGGGCCGGGACGGCACCCTCCAGGCCTGGGCAGGTCCCGGGACAGGCAGCTGGCACCACTTTCCCTTCATGATGCTGCCAAGCAGCCCTCGCTCCGCCAGACAGCACGACCCGAGTGCCTCACCCCAAAGCTTCCCATTCGCTCTCCTGCAGTGTCCTCAGGGCCCAGACTTTGCCAGGCTTTCCCTTCCCCAGCCCTAGAGGCATGGTCCCTGAAGCCGGAAGCCTGCCAGTCCCCAGTGAGTACAAAGTGAGCCCTGGGGTGCGCAGGGTAGGAACTCCTGTGGGCCCCAGAGGGTGGTCACAGTGGGCTGGGCCCCGCAGATCCAAGCGGACTCTGCTCTGGCCTCCACCCCGCTCCGGGCCTCCCAGTCCCGGACTGGCTGTAAAGCATCCCGCCCTCCCCCACCGTGTCTCTCAGCCCGACCCCTGCCTCTACTTAATGGCCCCGCGCATGAAACTCCGCACGACTCACCAGCAAACCTTCCCCTGGCTTCCCTCTGCCTGCGGCGGGCTCTCCCCGACAGGGCTTCTCCCAAACGGATGGGAGCCCCAGTTGCCTCGCGGCTCAGCTTTCCGAGCACCCCAGGAACCCGGGTTTCCCCAGCATTCCTCTGCTTTCCCTATGCTCTTCCAACGCCTCTGCCCACCGCGCCCCCTCCCCATGCCCTCACCCGTCTGGTCTCCCCACCAAGTGCTCCAATTCCTGCTATCCCTACTTCTCCCAGCCCCCCCCCCCCCCACCTCCCCGCAAATTCCCATTTTCCACACCTGATCTCCAACTGCACCAGGTCCTCCGCGGTTCCAGGCACTCCCTTCCCGTCGCCCGCAGAGTCCCCACCCATCCCCTCCGCGGGAATCGCCCTCCCGAAAATTCTCCGGCCCCAGCCCACAATACTCTCCGGATACCCCACCCTCAATTCCCTTCACCTTCGCCTGCTCCGGACCCCTGAACTTCCCCCCCCCCTTGCTTTTGGACACCCCCC